ATATATATATATGCTGTAGACATTGGAATAACATTTTATTTGTCCTCTCTTGGTTCTGTTGGTTTTATTTCTCTATTGATCCGATTAATCATTTGGTTTAAAGCATTGAAAACAATCTAGTGTTGCCTTAATGTCAGTAAAACAAGTCAAGTTTCATCCCATCACATGTCAGTAAATGGACAATACTGAAATCTTCAAGGTCAGGAATAAGAATCCTCAACTCTGAAGGAAAGAGACAATTTGTAAAGTTTTCAGAGTTGAATTGTGAGAAGAAATCGATGCCCAGATGTATGTATTGGGGGGTTGAATCCACACAGTACAGGGACATCACTGTGTCCTAAAGCTTTTGAGGCAAAAGAATGAAAGAAGGCCTAAACCAGATGAATGGTGGAGCACCCATCCACAGATCCAGGGTTCTGGATGAATCTACAAATCAAAGATCACAGATTGATCAGTTCTAGCTTCAATCAAACAGTCCAGGGTTTATTTGGAGCCCAAACTTTGGCCATAACATTTGAATGTCATGATCTAGTCCAGTTGGGTGAACAATTTAAAAACAAGCCAGCACAGCTGACTCATATTTAAGTCTAGAGGTCCCAGAAGGTCTCAGATTTTTAGTCCAGGTGCTGAGCTAGTCCCCCAGGGTCTGAGTTTGTAATTCAGTCCTCTGCTATCCAAGCTGTATCTGTCCAGAGTAGATGGTGAGTACAAGCATTATGGCAAAGCCTGTAAGCAGCCCTGCATTCTGGAGGGCGAAAGTGAGCAGAAAGCCACTTCCTCCAGCCTCCTCTTCCTCACGACTGACCTCGTTCATCTCTGGAAACTGCAGAGATATGGACAAACCAATGTGGAGACAAAAGCATTTTAAGAAGAAGAAAAATCAACAGCATCGTTTAGAATAACCAAGTTGTTAATGACATTTTAATTTGAATTAAAGATATAGATGTCAGAGATAAATGTTAGAGATTATTTTCTTCAACAGAACTCAAAGCTATTTTTTACATTCATAAATAAAGAGTTTAGATGCAAAAACCTCTAAAGCCATTTGATATTTTCTCCTAAAATTAGCTTTTTTATTATTATATAAGACTTATTGCCTTTAAAGTGTAATAACTAAACATAAACGTAGGAGGCTGAGAAAAATTTTCATTTTAGGAGAACATTTCAGATGGCATTTCGAGGTTTTTGCATCTGAACTTTTTTTTTTTCACACGAATGTAATGTATCCTCATGAAATATCAGCAATGGTATTGCTTTTATTTTTTTTGTGATTAATTTAACGTGCTAAAACTATATTTTTTCATAATTCACAAAAAACATTTTTTTTAAATAATATCTTTGCATACATGTAAGAAACATGCTGAGTTAACATATATATTTATCATAAATATGAAAAAATATATGAAAAACAACCCTCTTCAATATCTTGAATTTGGACTGCAATACTCCGTTCAACCACTAGGTAAAGACTACGGACACACTAGAGTTTGTGCATGCAAAATTCTGTCGGAAGTAGGGATGGAATGAATAACTAATTTTTACTATTAACTGCGCTTTAATTCATCACGGTTAATTAATCGTAAAGGCTTCACAACACAGTGTTTCTACACTGAACTAAACAGCTGTAACTAAAAGTTATGCCAACTGTGCCACTAGTTTAAAGTTCTGAACTTGTACACAGTACGCACGCACACTGGATTAAAGGCTGATTTTAACTATGGCTGAGGCTGTTATCTAAGGGTAGTTCACATATTCAGTCCTTTGTGCGTGCAAGTCAGTTGTTCAAGTGCACGGGGAGTCACGTAACAATAACAGATCGATCAGCTTTGTACTTTGTATGTAATATACACATTTATATACCAAACGAAATAATAAATTATTATTAGTTCTTTATTATTCATTCATTTTCTTGTCGGCTTAGTCCCTTTATTAATCCGGGGTTGCCACAGCGGAATGAACGGCCAACTCATCCAGCAAGTTTTTACGCAGCGGATGCCCTTCCAGCCCATCTCTGGGAAACATACACACACACATTCAACACACACACTTCATACACTACGAACAATTTAGCCTTCCCAATTCACCTGTACCACACGTCTTTGGACTGTGGGGGAAACCGGAGCACCCGGAGGAAACCCACGCGAAGGCAGGGAGAACATGCAAACTCCTCACTGAAACGCCAACTGAGCCGAGGTTCGAACCAGCGACCCAGTGACCTTCTTGCTGTGAGGCGACAGCACTACCTAGCGCCACTGCCTCGCCTAGTTCTTTATTAGTTCTTAATTAAGTTGTACAAAAGTGCCTTTCAGACAGAGCTTCAGCAGCCTTTGACCACATTTGTTCTCTTTAAAAGGGAAATACTTTACTAATATGTAGGTTAGGTTTACATTAGACAAATTCTTTTTTTTTATTATTATTTTTATTTATTTATTGATTTACTTATTCATTCATTCATTCATTGTTCTGTCATTTATTTTAAGTGTAAAGTTATTGTTTAAATCCAAAAATTCACTTATTTTTAAGTCCAAAGAGAAATAGACTGTTAATTGTTTTTTATTATTATGTTACTGAGCAGCAATTAATAACACTTTAAAATATAAGGAGTTTAAGGAATAGGAGTTTTTATGTGATTTACTAAACTACTAGTGTTGTGAAATTAATGAATGCTTAATAATCGTGATAACTGTGAAACCGTGATTATTCCTCAAACTATAATGGTACAACCATAATCTATAATTGCTGGAAGGAGCTGTGAAAAGGGGCAGCATAGGACAAGATGATGCAACACTTATAAAACGTTTTTTTATAAGAGTTTTAGAGATGCGAATGAATGAAAGTCAATGGGGCAAAAAGTGCAGTGTGACCCTGGCTTAAGAATATTTTCCCATCTGCAGGTGCATGTCTGTACAAACAAACATGAAACAAACAAACTTGCAGTCCAAACAGTTTCACACCTGTGTGGCTGACTGAGATTATTCATTGTGTTTATCATTTTACTTTCTGAAACAATCAAATTTGAGATTTCCATTTTTTTTTCCTTTTCTTAATTAAAAAAAAACTGATCATAGAAACCCAACATAAAATAAACAACAACAAAAAACTCTAAATCAACACAATTCTCAAAGTCTTCTGAAAGCCAGCTTATGATCAGCATGACGTCTCTTACCATATCAGCCAGCGCAATGTAGAGGAACATGCCACCGGCCAGAGCAAAGATCCAGTTAGGAGAGAAGTTGTTTCCAGCCAGGATGCCAAAGCCCATGCCCAGATAACAGCAGCAGGCTGACAGGAAGTTAAAGAAGAGTGCCTGCTGGATGCTCATGCCAGCGTTTAGCAGGATCACAAAATCACCTACACACACACACAGATGCAGCACAGCCTTTACACAACAGCAGTTTCGCTTAGCATCGCATATCATGCATTTGACTGATATTTTTAGCTGTAAAATTACAAAATTAGTGGCATCTACAGGTACTTCTCTAAACAGCAGCCAGATTTTCCACCAATGAATAAGTGTTTATGAATTCTTAAAATGATTATTATTTTTTTTTTACTATTATACAATTTAAATTTTTAGTGCAGTTTTAGCTTTTGGTTTCAGTTTAATTTTTATTTTAGCTTGATTTAGTTTGTATTTTTTTATTTATTGTGAATTTGTTTATTTTTGTCAGTAAACAAAAATGTTTTTTTTTTCATCAATAGTTTGTTTTCATTTACTAAAATAACCTTGGTCAGACGTCTATTAGTCACAACAAAGTTGCAGTTGTAATTTGTATAGGCAGATTCCAGATTGTAGGTTCCATAATTAGGAATTTTTACAGGTCTATTATAACAAACTATATTACCCAATGCTCACGCCTAGACACAAGTGTAAAAGAGACGGTGAAGCTCACCCAGCTCATGAGGAAACTCTTCACAGAGAATCGCCACTGATGTACTGATGCCCTGAAATACAGATGCAGTGAAGGAGGCTCCAATGGCCAAACCATCAATGAAATTATGAAGGCCATCGCTCAGAGTGATCATCCACGCCAGCGTGCCGATGTCAGAGTAAGCCCTGCCCTTCAGCCAATAGCAGCCACCCGTTCCACCACCACCTGAACTCTGAGTGTCCTGCGTCAGGAACAAGT